ACGCGTTTGGCCAAGCTACGATTTTCTCCCCTAATCCATTAAACAGGATCGTTGAAAAGGGCTGTCCAAATGATTCTTAGGATTCGTCATTGTTTCGTTCCCGCGTTATCCGAATGGACAATTCGTTATTACGTCACATTTCAACGATGCATTAGATCAGGTTAGATCACCAAGAAAAAATTTATGATTATGCTTATATTATTATACAATTGAATATATGTATATAAACTCGATATTAAATGCATAAATTAATTATAATTGAATAATTTTATGAAATATATATATGTTTAAGAATGTAAGAACAAATATTTAGAAATTTTTGATGAATTGAAGAAATTGAGGAAAAATATGTGCACATATCTCAATTATCATTTTTGTGCGTATATAAATATACTTAGTAAATAAAAATATATGAAAAAAATCTATTAAAACAAGATGCAATTCATTGTATAATATATTCAAACAATATATTAATTCAAACATTTATATTTTTGAATAAAAAGACAAATAACAGAATTTTCGATTTAGCATTAATTTGAAACGAATATACTAATTGTAAAATAAATATTTATATATACATACACTTACATTTGTTTTGTAAATAAATTATTATTACAAATAAATTCTAATATTAATTAGAATTTAATAAATCTCAAAAAACTTTTTATAGTAATTATATTGTTACATAAATAATATGATAATTAAAAAAACAAAAAGACAAAAAATGAATATGTAAATTTCAATGACATATCATTTATATTTATCATTTAGAAATGATTACAGTTTAGAAAAGAAAAAAAATTATTATACTATCACACATATTTTATATCATAACCATATTTGCCATAATGAGATCATTTAAAATGTATCATTAAATTAATGATTAATTTTACATTTCCTAATATTGAATTAAAAATTATAATTTATTCGAAACAATAACTTACCTATAATTCGGTTGATTATCACGTGACAAAGACGACATCGGCAGAAAACCTAAAACACATAGGTATAAGAACCGTTCTCAAGAAAGCTTAACCCTTAAAAAAATCACAAAACTAACAAAAGATTTTCTTTAAAACAAATTATATCTTAATTTATTTGTTTCGTCACAACTATTCACTTTTCTATGTTATGATTTCCGTCGTAAAGAACCTACCAATAAAACAACAATAACAATAAAATCACTATCGAGGACAATATTTGTGCTTTTGAATGTTGAAGACCATCTTGCAGTCTCCAGCCGTAAGAGAATCGCGTACCTTCGCGTATTATATTTAGCAACTCCGTTTCGTTCCGTTTTATCCCGTCGTGTCTCGCCTTTCTGATCGAGACGTTCGCGCCCTCCTCGAGTCTGCGCGCTTGCGATGTAATCCATCATATCAACTGTGACGATTAGAAGCTCAATAATCTTGATAATCCTAATTATATCGATATTAATAACAATAATTATTATTATAAGATTATTTCAAAGTATTAATTTAAAAAGCAAACATCGCTTAAAATGTTAAAAACAATCTTTTGAAATATTATATCATCATAAAAAGTTAAACTATAAACTAAGTTATAAAAATCATGCTATTATATATATAAATTACTCCAAATTAATCATAATTATTGCAATATTACACATATATATTGTAATAATCATATTAACATTTCTTTTTATAGCCCCTTTTAGGATGTTAACATTCATTCACGTGTTGAATGCTTAATATGATGGTAATATCATATTTGATAATATCGATTGAATTTCATTTATGATGGCAGCACAAACAATATACAAAATAGACTTAATAATATAATGATTAAAAATGAAATTAAATTTTAATAACAAAAACATATATTTATATATGTTTTACAAATTTTTCATTTTATTATATATATTTTATTTTAATTATAAAAATAATTCTATTAAGTAAGAATTAAAAATAAACTTTTATTTTAACAAAATATAAAACATAACATAGAAGAAGACTAAAAATAAAAACTACTGAATTGACTATCAGTCCTATTTTTTAAATAAATTTTTTCAAAAGTAGAATAAAATAGAATAAAAATTGAATATTAGCGCTATCTTTCAAATGCATCTTTCTAAAAATACTTAAGAAATGGCGCTGATACTCAATTCTTATTCTATTTTATTCTCTTGTCTTTGAAGAGATATCTGTGATATTTAAAAGATGGCACTGGTAGTTAATTTTTATTCTATTTCTATTTCTATCCTTTTTCTATGATATATTTTCTTTGTCTATTTTGTTTCATTTGCGACACTCTAGAGATGACGTTGATTTAGTAATTTTTATTCTATCTCTGTCTTTTTTCCACATTTTGATTTTATTTGCAAAATATATGTACTCATGATGCCAATATCTTATTAATTATATTATTCGTAATACAATATAATTTAATATATATAAAGCATTTTAATGAATTTTATGAAAGAATATACTAAAGAATTTATTTTTAAAATGTTAATTGACTCTAAATTCTTGACTCTGCCAATTTTAGTAATTAAATATAATTTCTGCACTCACCACTTTATTTTAAGTTGTAAACTATAGAGGGCACACAAAGCAATCTAATTTTTTACTCGATTGATATTTCAGAACATTGAACACAAGTTGAGATATAAGATGTAAGTTTTACCATTCATTTATTATATTTCTTGTCAATGATAATCTTTATGTGATTTTATGTTTTATCATTTTCCTTATATTATTCTTTTATTATTTTTTATTATTTCTGCATTAGATTAATAATATTGCAAAAAATACGGAAAAAAATTATATGTCACGTATACATCTTCTGTTTACAACCTTCTTTTTGCCAAAAAATGGAAAGAAATAAAAAGTGTTCTATTTTAAATTAATTTAAATTATATTTTACAATCTCTCAAATTTGTATCTCATCTGTAAATTTTATTTTATAATATACATTCTTATTTCTGATATAAAAGCACATAATTACATAATTTTACATTCATATTTTTTAATTTCTTGATATTATAATCTAATTCTAGACTAAATCCATGACTAAATCGATAATATAATATACTAAAGTGATAATGAAACTTGATAAAGCTTAATAAAGTACTCACATAGTATCTATACTTTTGTTTTTGTAAAACTATATACTTTTATATAGTTCTATATACTTCTATATATTTTTTATAAAATATTTAATTCAACATTATAAAAATATATTTGCATATTAAATAAATAAAAAATTATTGAAATATAATTTATAATTTTTTAAACTAAAAAAATTAAATGATATTAAATTCATTATTATTATTTATTATTTTTGAGTAAATTATTTATATATTTCATAATAGTTATTGTTATTATAGTCACAAAAAAAAATAATGTTTTATATCAATTATTATAAACAAAAGAACACTTATATATAATGTTTAATTGATATTTATATTATTTTTTTAATTATTACATTTATTTGAATATATTTAAATTCTTAAATAATCCATTATAAACTTTATTTTTAATATTGTGATAACAAACTTATCTTTAATTTTGTTATATAAAATATATATTATATAGAATTTACTATAGTATTGTATATAAATTTTTAATCAATATAAGGAAACTTGAATAATAAAGTTTCAAAGTGACAATTATTAATGTTATTTATTTATTTATTAATAAGTAATAATTTTATTATTTTTTTTCAATATTCACTTTTCGATATATAATTTATTTTAATTTAAAAATATTTTATAATAAAATGTAATTATATATCAAATCCTATATTAAATTATGTATAAATAAAATAGTATGTATATGTCATATATATTATGTAAACAGAAATATAATAAAATTTTTTGTTGAAAATATTATTTGAAAATAAAATTTCGTGATAAAATTCAATTAAAAATAATATTTAACGGTTTGTTTTAAAATATTGTATTAAAAAATTAAATAAATCCATATTTTTTGATAAATATTTGATAATATTTAATAAATTTTTATTAAATATTATTATATTACATTATTTAAATAAAAAAATATTAAATGTTAAGAGCATATATTTGATTGGGAAATATAACGTATCATATCTAATTTAGATATAAAAGGAAGTTAATCTCGATCAATTTTTGCATTGTCATTCAGATATTACTGAATTGCTATTATCGATTTGCTAAAAATACAGATTTTTATGAACAAATACAACAACTTTAAACATAATATTAATCTTTCGAAAGGAATCAACAATGCATTTATAATTTAAAAATGTCATTGTTAGAGGAAATATGATATCATTGAATACTACTACTTTTTATAAATGAAATCATCTGATATATTTATATATTATATCATTTTTAAAGTAAAAAATAATAATTTATAAAAATGAAATTATTTTTTTTATTTTTTATTATTTTACATTACAAATATTTTATATAGTTAATCTAAGAGAATAATAAAAACTAATGTAAATGTATTAATCGATTTCTTTGAGACGGTATTCTATGTACTATAATATATAATAGCTAAGGTTACTTGTTTATAAGAATATTACTGAGAAAGCTTTCTAATACTATTCATTCCATGAATGTAATCAATGTTTTATAATGTTTCAAAATTATGAAAATATAAAATATATCTTTATATATCTTTAAATAAAATATTTTAATTTTAAAGATTTTTTTTTATAATCTACAAAATATTAAATTAATTATTTATTGCGTAAATATTATTCTACAATATCGAAATAAACGTAATATCTTATCATTAATAAAAAATATTATTTAATGCTAAATATTATGTCGCAATAAGACAAGTGTTTAATAGAATAAAAAATATGAAAAATATATTTAATTGCGTAATATTTTGCAATTTTATGTATATATATCTATAACTTTAAAAAATGAATATACATATATGAAAACAAATATCCTTCGAAATTGTGTGCACTATGTTATTATGATATAAGTTGTAATAGGAAGTACAATACAATCTAAGGAAATGTTCGGAAATAGATCTTTGAAAGTTTTTCGATGAACCGCGAATAAAATAAATACGTATGTCTAGTATACATCTCACTTTACCTTCGCCATACTTGTATCGAGTGACATCATTCTATGGAACCCAAATTTAAGAAAGAGAAAGAAAGTAAACGTGAAGGAGAATATGTTCACTACGTGAAGCGTAAGTCAGAGAAGGAAGAATAGAACTACTGAGGATTCAGAGCACAGCGCTCAGTCGTTAACGAAGCATCGAAATTGTTGGTTCGGTAGTACTTGTGGACAAGCTTAGAACGTAATTCCTAGAATAAATAAAAATGATTTACCAAATTAAGAATGCCGTAAGTAATTAATAATATATTCATTATAAAGTTTCATTATATTTATAAATAAAAAAATTATGCATATATATTTGATTCATATATGTTAAATAATCATATTAATTTTTTAAATAAAAAAAAGAGTCAAAATTATATTTTTAGTTTACAATGGAATTTATTTAAATTTAGTATATTTTTTATAAAATAATTGACCTTGAAATAATCGATTATCTTGCTTAGTTCAGTAACGAAGTTTCCTCATAATGTGACGAAAAAATTTCGATCCGAAGCATGAACTATTGCGTGAAGTACTTGCAATCGTAGAATTGTTTCGATATTCATTTATTTATTTTAAATACATAAAATACATATATGTGATAAATATTTTCGAGTATAGTGTTCATTTAATATTACATCAATCACAATTCCAATTACTACATAATATAGTTTGTAATATTGAATTCGTTGTATCTATAAGGTATATGATTCAAGCATGCTTCCATGATAGATAAATTTTATAGGCGGGACAATTTAACGTGACAATAATTTGTTTATTAATTTTAAATTATTTAATTGATTTTTATAAATTATTTATATAGGATTATTCTAAATAAATATTACTTTTTTTATTAATTTTTTATATTTTTGAGAAAAATTTATAATAAGTTTAAAAAATCGTGAATTAATAAAAAATATACATTTTTATATTTTTCTTATTCTAAATATTTTAGTTTATATTTTTATAATTTTAATAACATATATTTTTATTATAAAATATCTGTTTTTTTACTTTACTAATATCAAATAAATGATAACCAGAAATAGATAACTATTTAGGACAAATATAAAACTGATATAAAATCATTATATATATAACAGTATAATTTATTATTTAATTACTTTCATGAATTATGATAATAAAATATACTAAAACATAATTCTATTTCAAAATTTAATCAATATTTAATATTTATATTAACATTATTAACATATATTATACAATTAATAATATTAATATTAATATTTACTTATATTATCTTTACAGAGTGATTTAAAAAATCAGCTTGAAAAAGCTGGAGATCAATTGGTTGTAATTGATTTTTTTGCTGTGTGGTGTGGTCCATGCAAAATAATTGGACCTAAAGTAGAAGAGTTATCACTGGTTAGATATTATTTTATTTAATTTAAAATATTATTTTATTTTATTTAAAAAAAATTTTTATTAAATAATTTTTATGTCTTTTTATAATAGGAAATGGAAGATGTTATTTTTTTGAAAGTTGATGTAGATGAATGCGAAGATATTGTTGGTGAATATGAAATTACCAGTATGCCTACCTTTGTTTTCATCAAAAATAACAAAGTGGTATGTATTATTTTAAATTAATATAAATTTCATATAAGTAAAAAAAATAATTAAGAATTAATAATTCAATATATTCTATGTTTTAGCTGGAAAACTTTTCTGGTGCTAATTATGATAAACTTAAAAACACAATTCAGAAACACAAATAAATAATTTTAATAATAAAAATATTTTTAAACAGAATTATCTATTAATTAATATTAATCAACAAAAATGATTAGCAGAAACTTCTTATATTCTTATTAAGAAATAAAGCCATTTATTATTCACAAGATAAAGATAAAAAAATATATAAATTTGTGTTAATACATTGTCAATTTTATTATACATATTTTATTTGCAAAATAAAATATAATCAGCTTATAAAAATATGCATCAACATTTTTTATTTTATTATTTAATAATGTAAAAAATTAATTACTACATTTATTTATATAATTGCATATAATAATTAGTACATTATTAAGTATAACACTATTGATATTTAATATACATTTATACAATTGCATTGTTTTCTGATTGTTTATGTATTTTCACTAATAATGAACATATTCCAGTACCAGATTTGCAAGGTTGACCTAACATTAGTCGACTAGAAGGAGATTCCAAATTATCTCGTTTTCCTATAAAAAATAAAAATAAAAATTAAATATGTAATTTTCCAATCAGTAAATAATTTCAATAATTTATTTTCTTTTTTACCTTGTAAAGCTGCATTTTTTAAGAAATTAAGCGAACTTTCAAAACTCATTTGTTGTAAAGGAGATGCTGATTCTTCCATTCCTTTACGACTAAGAGGTTGAAATCTACCATCAAAAGTCATATAATCTGCAATTAAAGACAGATGTCTAGAATCAACTGTAATTCCATACATCTTGAATACATCTCTCACTTCTTTTATAATAACTCTGTTAGCAGCTTCAATACCATATGTTTGAGAAATACTATAAATATCATTAGAATATAATTGATTCAAATTTAAAAATTTATCATATTTAAACATTTCCTATATTAAAAAAAAATATATATAAGTAAAAATAATATATAATATACAAAATTATGATCAATATAAAAATTTTTTACTTACTATGATATTAATACCATCAGTTTTAAGAATTGTTTCTCCATTATTATTTTGAAATGTAAAAGCACGTTTTATACAAGGTACTTCCCATAAAATAATTCTATTTGCAACATTTTTAATTATTGTTGGTAAGTCTAATTTTAACATTTTAAGAGGTAACTGAAAAGTTATTATTATTATAAATATTAATATAATTATTTTATTATAATTTAAGAAAATATACTTATATATTAGATTAAATTTAAATAATATAAATAAATATAAATATATATTATAAATATATAATATATAATTTCTTATTTACCCAAAATGTCAATTTACACCATGTAAATTTTTTCTCATCATAATCATATTCTAATGCATTAACATACATATTTCTAATATTCTTCTTTTTTTGTATATTATATATTTCACTTGTAATACATTCTGATTTCTCATTTTCTATGTCATCATCATCTTCATCTTCATTTTGTTCTTGGACTTCAATTCTTAACTTTTCTGTTTCATTTTCTATATCATCTTCTTTTTCATTTATGTCTTCCATTTCCTCTTCTTCTGGATCTTCATATTCTTGATTTTCTCTATGACGTGAAATGGTTCGTATTAAAGTTGCATCTGCATCTTCTGCTGCTGCTTCTTCATCTGAAGATTCATGCATTTCTCCTAAATTTGTTTGTGGTTTCAACATAGATTCTGTTTCTTGATCAGGTTCTATTTGATCTAATAAAACATCATCTTCATATATAGATTTTTTTTCCTCTTCAACATGTAATAAAGCACCTGTTATTTTAGCAATTTTTTTAATTTCTTTAAATATTTCTTTAAAAAATACTTCTTCAGTTTTCTTTAATATTTCATGTGGTTGAACACAAAATTCTCCTTTATAAGATTTATGCGGAAGATAATTAATAGTTATAGTATATATTAATTGTCTATTAGGCCATTGCTGCATTTTTCTATTAACGATAATATTATCTAAAACATTTGATAAAATACATTTGGTCAATTTTAATTTTAATTTATTTGATCGTTTTATTACATTTTTTAAATCTTTTCGAAATGGTATTTCCATGCTAGGTGTTTTAATATTTTTTGATGCCATCATTAATATTTCTCGTAATCTAGGTATACCCAAAGTAACATTCATTTCTCCACGACCGGCGAAATGGAAAGTATTCAAAGTCATTTGTGTTGATGGCTCTCCTATTGATTGTGCTGCTAATAAACCTACTGGTTCACCAGGTGGACAAACAACTTTCATTACTTTCATAGATAAAAGATCTCTTAAATCTTTTTTCCTTATAATAAAATTTTTAGATTTATTAGTTAAATATTCATCTATTAAATTTTCTAATCGTTCAGAAAGTACACCAAAATCTATATCTTGTCTATATTTTGACATTACTGGATCCGGACATCTAATACATTCATTATATATCCATTTTTTATCCTCTTCAGTAGTTCTTATCCATTTTCTCATATATGAAACAGCAGCTTTGCTTCTTCCACTTTGTTTATCGATTTCTTTATACTTTGAACTCTTAATATTCATATTTTCCATTGAAAATCTTGTAAATGGACTAATTCTTTTCTTTTGTAACGTATTTCCATTTTTACTTTCCCATTTTTTAATTTTTTTCACCAATTTTAAAATTTTATCTGTATCTGAATCTTCTTTTAAATTTTTTACCATTTCTTCATTTACAATCGCATTTTTATTATCTATCAAAAAATTTAATTGTTCTTTTTTTAAAAATCGTGAACCCGGTATATCTAATCCATCTTCTCCATAATAAATCTGTACTAAACTACCATCTGAATCTCGTACTGTTGAATCATAATTAATGACTAATCCTTCAAGATGTTTAATAAGACATCTTTGTAAATATCCTGATCTACTAGTTTTCACAGCAGTATCAATGAGACCTTCACGACCGGCCATGCAATGAAAAAAAAATTCTTGAGGTTTAATTCCTGTCATAAATCTACCATCAATAAAACCACCTGCTCTTGGTGTTGGATCATATGCAGAAAAACTTGGAAGACTTTTTCCACTGATCATTAAAGGTGGTCTTTTTCCTTCTAATTCAATTTGTCCAAGTAAACAAGATATTTGCATAGTATTTACAGTAGAACCTTTTGCACCAGATTGAACCATTAATTGTAAATTATTATCTGGAAATTTTTTCAAAAGACCAGCTGGTAAACATATTTTATTTATATCATTAGTATAAATATCTAATGTACTTTTGTATTTTCGATCGACTTGAGCGCGAAATTTAGGATCATTCCAATAAGATTCTTCCATTTTAGATGTAACTATATCCATAGGTGTATCATTAGGTAATTCCAATACAGATTTTTGAATATTTTCACCAATTTTTCTACAGTTAGAAATAATTTCTTTGCGTTTCTTATCTGCTTTTTTTAATAATAAAATATCTTCAATGCCAAGTGTAAATCCATTTCTTTGTAAAGCTGCTTGAAACAATTTACCAAAAGCACTTAATAATTTTGCAGAACATGTTCCTCCATATAATTCAAAAATGCAATGTACAAGACCAAATGGAGTTGCACCATAATGTGTTTTATCAAGTACACCACATAATAGTTCTCCATTTCGTATTATTACCTCAGCTTCTGACATTGTATTGGGATTTGAAAATTCAGTACCACATTTCCAATATCTTGTTTTTTCAATTTGCCATTGTTTTGCATTGATCTTGGCACTTGCTGTTAAATTAATACGCGCTTGATTTGATGGAATAATATTAATGATAACAGTTGATATAATTTGTTTACCAGACCATAAAGCTATTGGTTTTATAATACTAGGAGGAAGAAGAATTATATTATCTTGTATTGTAGATAAAGCAGCATAAACTAATTGCATATAATCTTCGCGTGAAAAAAATGTTCCTCTTACTGTTAAACGGACACCAGAAATTATATGATCTTGAATAAGGCCACTTAATGGAGTACCATCTTTAGGTACAAGATATTGATTAGATACATTTGCTATATTGTAACCTTCACTTCTGGCTAGTTCATTTTGAGGATGATGAGCATTGATCTCATCACCATCAAAATCTGCATTATAACTTTTACAATTAGCATAATGTAAACGTAATGTTTTTTCTCCCTTTAAAATACGTGCTTTGTGAGCCATAATACTAGGTTTATGCAAAGTTGGTTGACGATTTAATAATAGAATATCTCCATTTTGTAAATGTCTATGTACAATTTTAATGCCTTTAAAAAATTTATTTGCTTTATCACTTGTTGTTAAAAGACGTTTTGCAATAGCCTCTCTTTGAATAGCATCTGAAATAGAAATACGTTGTATACTTCCATCTTCATTTTCAATCATTACTGCTCCAGGATGAATATTAGGGCCATTCAAAACTAATTGTCTTAATTGTACAACATTCCAAGGTGTAACTGGTGTTGGATATGTTAGTTTCAATGCAAAAGCTTCAGGAATACCAATTTCATCTATGTTCAAATTAGGATCTGGAGTAATAACTGATCGAGCAGCAAAATTAACTCTTTTACCCATCATATGCATTCTAATAATTCCCTCTTTTTTTTCTATAACTTGTTTTAGTCCTTGACAATTTGCAGAATCTGCAGTTCTATTCATGTCACGATCCATTAAATGATCTACATTTATTTGCAAATTTTGCCAAGCATTATGCAATTTTTCAATTGCTGTATTACCTTTTATGTGATCATAAACAACTTTTCCCTCTTCTGGTAATTGTTCTGTATCACCATCTTGAATTGTTTGAATGATATTTCGAAGTACAAGACAATCTTGAATGATACTCTTATAAACTTGAGATTGTGGATGTTCTATCATTTGTCCATTAATAAAATTAATTGGTCTTACTATAGGTGGTAGAACTGGTATTACTTCAAAAAAAAATATATCAGTTGGATATTCAATATCTACCATTCCAAAGCAAGGTATAATAACCTTTAAGAAATTTTTTTCATTTTGCCAAAGTTTTCTAAGATAATCTTTAGATTGATCTGGCATTATCATTACAGTATCCAATTTATGTATTACACCACGTGATTGCATTGTTTCATTAGATAGATTAGATATTTTAGTTGTCATTATTTTATTTTTTAATGTTGTGATTTTTGATATAGGTTCTTCACAATATACACAAATTTTCGGTGTTGTATATTGTTTAAGAACATTTTCAACACAAGTATGCCATTGTGTATTAATATTTTTAGTGTTTATGTCAATTTCATTGTATTGTACAAAAGACTGATTAAATCTTTGTTTATTAAGAAGATTTTCAATGTAATTATCAATAACATTTTGAACAGATTGTATATCAACATTATAAGGATTATCTGAGTTAAAGACAACAATCATTACTTCTTGTTCTAAACTTTCAAGATCACTGAGATATCCTTGTTGAAGTAATTTCAATTTTGCAGAGAGTAATAATTTTACATAAGATGGAATTTGTAAATTGAAACAATTTAAACATGCTAATTTAATTAACATACATAATCCTTTATGAAATAATGGATTTATAACTGGCATAGGTAATTCTATATGTCCAAAGTGACCTGGACATTTGAATACATTGCATCCACATGTTCCACATGGATCTGAACTTTCTAAAAGAGGACCTACAACAAAAATAAATATATATTAATATAGTTAATATATAGTTTTTTCTTTTTTTTCTATTTTATATATATATATATATATATATATATATATATATAATAATATTTATTGAATTATTTACCTAATGATGGATCATATAAACCTCCTTTTAGAGGATGTCCCAAAATATTAAATGATAAAGGTGTTCTTATTTTAGCAACACTTAAGTTTCTTATATCATTTGCAGTAAACATAGAAAACATTAAGCATTTTGGATCTAAATGTTTTGGAGTTAAACGTGGAGTATGATATTTATGCTGTACCATTTTAATAAATGTATTTTTTTTCTAAAAAACAAATCTACTTTTTTTAAATTTCATAGAAATTTTATCAATTTTTTTTATTAGAAAAGAGATATCATAGATTTTCACGTACAATAATTTTTCTTAAAAAAAATGATAATTTTAATAATCTATCTATTTTTCACTAATTATATTATGTATTAATTATTTATAAATTATTTATAAATAAGTTTTAGGTTATAAAATCTTTGTCACATGGTCTATCAATTCGCAATACTTAAATATATACAATTCTCAAAAAAATTCCCTACATAGATAAAAAATGAGTTGCATATATCAATGCGACTCATAAATACTCTATAAGAAATATTAATATCTTAACAAATCATAGGTTTATAAATTATGTATTTGCAATATAAAATTAATATAAAAGTATCATGTTGTTATCAATATCCTGAATCATAATTTAATCAAATTCAAGTCCTCATTAACAATCTCAATTTATCCCTTATTATTTCTTCCTTTATTATGTAAAAAAATATATATATATATCGTCATATTCTATAAAATTATGTTTTTTCCTATTTTTAACATAAGATATATATTGAAACAATTATTTGACTGATTCTCGATTCTCGATTAACTTAAAATCGATACATATATCGATATTTTGTAACTATCGTTTATAAAAGCAATCTAAACTATCGTATGTATATTTGGAGTTTATTTGGAACATCAATGAAATAACGAGTGAATTGAAAGAATTTTAATAAAAAAAGATTTTATACAAAATTATATAAAAACTTTAGAAAATCAATTTAATTCTTATAATGCAATTATAAATATAAATCTTTTATACTACATAAATAACTGTGATATATAAAAAAGCATTTATTAATATAAATATGTATGTTTGTTTTCATATTTATATTAATATTATCTAATTTTACAAATACATTATTACTTAAACAGAAGACAAAAATTTCTAAGTAATACATATTTTCTATTGCATTGCAAATAGGTTAACTCCACGATTTGAAATAAGTCAAACTGATACAGAAGTTGCAATAACTATTCATGCTCCATATGCCAATATTAAAGATACAGAAGTTTATGTTGATGCAACAGATTTTAGATTTTATTCTACACCATATTACTTAAGGTTAGCATTAATATTTAATAATTATACTTATTTTTTAATAAAATATTTTTATTTTAGGTTAAAATTACCAGGTGAAATAGAAGAAAATGATTCATCATTTGGTTCATATGATTGTGAGAAAGGAGATTTCACTTTAAAATTTACAAAAGTAGTAAAAGGAGAATATTTTGAAAATTTAGATATGATAAGTACATTATTAGCTCCACCAAAGAAGAAAAATACAGTTGTACCTAATATTGAAGTAATTGGAAATCCATCAGCAAATTCTGAAGATATTAATGATATATCAAATGAATCTGATTTTATGTCAAATGATGAAAACACTAATGGGGATGAATGGTATATGCATCAAAATAATGTACAAACTGTAACTCTTTTGCCAACTTCTCCTAAATATGGATTTGCAAATAAAATATCTGGAGCATTAGCTGCTTTTGAGGTACTTTTAATAATAAGAATTAAATATACATATATATATATATATATATTTATTTTTTTAATTTTAGTCAGCATGGATTAAGGAAATAATAGATCTTCCAATGCCAGATACAACACCTCAATCTGAGAGAAAAAAATTACGAGAAAAACGTGAAATTTCAGATTTTAATGAAGAACATTATTTAGCAGATCTTATGCAACCAGATTGTATAGAACCATATATCTCATTTATTACAGAATGGGATACTTTAAAGAAAGAGAATATTTCTTTCAATGAAACTGAAGTAGATTTATTAAAAGAACTTCCAAATAAAGAATATTTATTAAATAATGAAGAAACACATAAATTGCTTTTAAGTTTAGTGGATATTTTATTTGCTAGCTGTTATAATCATAGAACAACATTGGGAGAAAATACTGTTGAAAGTAGTTGGACTATTAATAAATTAAGTTCTACTCTATCTTGGTTTGATGTATGTAAAATTTAAAAAAAAATCTTAATTTCTTTATTATTATTATTATTATTATTTCTATATATATTATTTTACATATCCCTATTTTTAGGATTTTTCTGATTCAGAAGAAGTTATAAAAACTTGTTTTAGAAGATCTATATGTTATCCACTTTTTAGAAATTGGAAACTATCTATAAAAATTTTTGAAGATATAAAAAAAGTAATTAAGTTAGGTAAGTAAAAAAATGAATAATCACAATATTATATACATTTATATAGATAGATTATGTAAATTATTTTTTTTTTTTATGTCTAATTTTATATCATTAAATTATTAAATTTGTAGGTAAAAAATATATCATAAAATGTTTTTGTGAAATACATAATTTATTTAACAATTCATGTGAACCACGATATATATTAAATCAACTCTATATAAAAGATTATCTAATTTGGTTACAACAAATTAATGAATCTTTGATAGAATCATTAGAGTCTCTTATTATATTTTTACCTTCTAAAGAAGATATGCAACTTGATTTAGTAGAATTAGAACAAGCAGCTTATTCTGTCCAAGAAGAAGATCTTATTATAGAGAATTCAATTCATGAAATAGTGGACCAAATGGATGAATTAACAGTTAATGACAATAACGAAGATAAGTAAGTGTAATATACAAAATATCTCATAACTTTTATAAAATTTAAGGCTTTATTGAAAAATTTTATATGTCTCTATGTTATATGATTTTATTTTAAAGGCCAAAGACTATATACTACATTAAAGACAAACATTCTTTAAAGTATTTGTAAGTATTTTATTCGAATTGCTTTGAATATTGATGATTTTATTCCCTAATAAAGCTTTTTCATTTATCTCTCAATAAATGATATAAATATTTGTACATATTATATACATTTTTATCCGAAATATGCTAATGTAATACACTAATTAAAATGCACTTTCCTTTGGTAAATCACATAAATATGTTCAATAAATGTTGAACTGTTAACTTATCATCAATGATATGTAGCAGTAACAAATTGTCATATTTGCACATTGCGCATGGATGATATGCACAGTAAAAAACATTTGAAACTTACTAGTTTTTCTTTTTTTTTAATAATGAATATGTAAATTATGTTTTATATAGATTATCGAGTTCAAGCGACAGCAGCGATACCGATTCTGAAACCGATTCAGAAAGTAGCACTTCGAGTACCACTACCACAAGCAATAGTAATAGTTTAGATTCAGACGATGTAAGTGAATCAGAAGAAATTGTAAATGAATGTATTTAACATAAATTACCATGTAAAATATTATTATATGTCTATCTTAAAAGATTTGTTACAAAAATCTTTGTAAAAATAATGTTTTTGAATGTTTTTATTTTACTTATAATATATAAGTAAAATTAAAAAATTTTATAATTCTATATCTTTTGTGTCTTTATAAAAATATTTATACGTAAAATTCTTTATAAGATATAAATAAGACTTTGTTTCGTCTCTACCTTATAATTATTATGTAGTTATCTGTATAGACATGTACAGTATACATATTATTTATGCAATATTCGTGTAAATGTGACTTATTAAAGAATATAATAAATCCATGTTAATAATTTATTATAATGTTCGATTAATCTTCGTTGTATAAAATCATCTAAATCATCGTTATTTTTAATACTCATATCTGAATCAATTATATTGTTTGGTCTTAATAAGGTGCTTTCATTATCAAAAGTATTACTAACATTATTTTCTGTATCCTCTGCCTAGAATATTTTTAAAAAAACTTATTACTTGTAAATGAAAATTATCAATAAAAAGTAATTAAATTAAATTAAATTTTCAAGTTACCGTAACATAATCATAATCTGTAAATTCAATATTTTCATTTTTATTATTGAATTCATCGTCATCAATAGTTTGCCAATAATCTGCGATTTCTCCATATACTCCTGGACTTTCATTTACGCTACTTACGTATTCAGCTAATTTTTTATCATCTAACATCATTGAATCTGATGTTTTCAATACTGTTGGCTTATCGTTTTTAAAATTAAAAAAAGTCTAATGTGTCATTAGAAAAAATTTATTACATATATCTTATTATCCATACTGTACCTTTTGATTAGAAGTTGAAATCTTACTATTAAAATGATCATGGTAATCAGGACTTTCTGTTTTCAAAACTAAATGTGTATATTTTTTGAATGTTCCATTTTCTTCATGCAAATGCGGAGCATACAATATGATACGTAAAGGTAAACTTTCGTCTTTTTGAATTTGTAATTCTTCATACTTAGTACTTTTGTTTACTATTTAGTGAAAAATAAATATTTGTTAAAAAAAATGAATATTTGTTAAAAAAATAAATTATACATATTTATATATTTTAATATGCAAAAAGTATTTTTTAATCAATATATTAATATTTGATTATTTAATAAAATACCTTTTTGTTTTTCTATTTTTGTATCTTTTAATATATTTTCCGATTTAATTTGATGTTCTTCAAGATGTCTTGATAAATTAGTATTTAAATCGTTCGTTGTGGGATACGAATGATTATTTCCACTTATATGTTTATTTGAAAAATTGCAATCTTGTGTTTCTTTATAGGCTTCTGTCGTTTCGAAGTTCGATATTATACGTGTAGTTGATATCTGAGTTTGTTTTTGTTCATACGATATTTCAGAAGTTATTTTAAAATTCTTATCTGTTAAAAAATTGTTTTTTCCTACATTGTCATTTTTTTTCATATTTTCTGGAATTTCTGTCGTTTGAATTATTGGCACTTTAGTTGTAATATCATAAGTTGTAATTTTATAATTATTTGCATTGAAAGGAATGATAGTGCTCGTATATTTATCATTTTCAATTCTTTTTGATTGTTCGACAGACATAGTTACGTCAGTAAATACTTCTGGTTGTATATCAAGATTTTTATTTATCTTTTTATTTTCTGAATTTATAGTTTTTAAAAGATAATCTTTATAATCTATCGATTCGCGTATTGTTGATGATTGTTCCTATTCATCAGCAAATAAGTATATAAGATTTTTTCTTAAATATATTTATATACTTCTTTTTATATACAATTAAATTAAAAATATGTATATACATTATAGAAGTAGATATGTTTAAATTTTGCTTACATAACAAGGACCACATGGATCATCTTTATATGTAGAAAGTATGGCTGCTTTAACATAAGGAAAATAGAGTATACTCCAAGGTACAATAATCTGATAAGTTATTTTTCCGCAACTATGATAATAATAATTCACATTTTAATAATATTATAAATATCATATAAATATGTGTAAAGTACAGAATTATTTTATAAGAGAAAAAATAGATATTTCTTAATTTTTAAATATATACACACATAAACTTATATGTAAACTATATATATATAAACTATATATATAAACTTACTTGTAAATTAATTATATTTTACGATTCGATATAATTTGAATTAAACGATTAAATGCTCACCTATCAATAATTATTACTTCATCTTTCGAAGCACGAAAACTTTTCCAAATACCTAATTCGAAAGTATCTTGAAGAAAAATAATGCCTTTCTTTTCCTTTGCAACATCACTAAATATCATTTTATCCAAGCTCAAAAAGTGTTCGGATTCCTGTATATTTTTAGATATTTCCAACCACGCTTTTATCTCCATACTATTCTCTGTGTCATCTTCCGGCAAATCTGACGGTCGTGCAACCATGAAGAGCAAAATATTTGAAAATCCAGATTTTTCTAATTGCTTCTTTAATAATTCCAACCTTGTATCAAATGATTTTTTTGTAGATATCATATCAAAAAATATTATTTTCTATTCTAATATCAAATTATTTTTTATTTGTTTTATTTTAATTTTTAATTACTTCTCTCTCCCTCTCCCTCTCCCTTTTTCTTTTTCTTATAAATATTTAAAGTATTTGAGTTAACAGAAACATAAAAAATAAAAAAATAAAAATAATAAAAGTTATTAAATTAAAATTTGATGTAGTGTTAAGTAATTATTTAATGTAGTGTTAAGTATTAATAAGTAGCATTAAATTATGTTCTATTAGAATGTATTATTTAATTGTTACTAAATGTACCAATGAAAAATATTGATATTATTTTAATATATTGATCATTATTTTAACGACTTACATGACGGCTTGCCTATAACTGTAATTCCACGAGGGATCCAAAAACGCGAACACATTAACATGCCCCAATTGATCTTTTCGTAAATTCGTGGCACGGCATTGCTCGATATATCCTCGATTCTCTTGGGATTCCTTCGATTGTCGGAAATGACGAAAAACATCGAGCAATCGCGGCATCCTTTCGTAATCCTTCCCATAAGTTTCGCAATTTCCAATTATTATCATCATCGCTATTATCATCGTTGTTGTTATCGTGATTACAATCGAAATCGACATAATTCGTTCACTTTCTCCGATAGAATCGTTAATGGATCAAAAATCAATTGGAGAAATGACCGTTCTATCGGCTAAATATAAAATGTTTACATGAGCAACAAAATATCGATAATTATTTCGTAACACTTTGAAATCCGTGTAAACAACATAAAATTGTTAACCGGTCGTGAAACTTGGCACGTCACGCCGATCTTTGGAAGATGTTTGTTATCTGAGTGTGGGGGCCGATAAATCGTGGAAAATCGTGACAATTAAGTTGTGAAAATACCGAGAATTCTAAATCATTGTGCGATCATTGACAGTCGATGTGTGCGTGTGGCTTCTCGCGATATTATTAGCCAGAAAAATTAATTTACGTAGCATTGATGCGATATGTATGCGGGTCACACGGAAACTGTAAGCCTTTTTCTGACCTCACATGCTGCTGCCGCGTACCACTGTTCAACATTTCTCCTACACGTGACATAAACATGACACCCTTCCTCAAACATTATCATAGAGGCACATGGAGACTGATTTGTATAAAAAACAAGCTGAAAATTTTATTTAATATTTAAATATACAATGACCATAAAAACATTTGTCCACCTCTGTATTTATATATAATATTTATTAATTATGTATAATATTTATTAATTATGTATAATATTTATTAATTAGTTAATATATTATATAATATATTGTATTCGCAGTACTTTTTTATATTTATAAAAATTTAGTATATTATGAAAATGAATTATTGATTAAAAAAATGCTTTATATTTTTAACATGTCCTATCTTCCGTAAGAAATTATTAATATTTTCCGATCTTTTAAATTATCCTTTCTATTTTTTTGGCCTATCAATTATTTGTTAAAAGGAAAATTATTAAAATGACCAATGTTAAGAAATGTAAAGTGCTTAAAATACATTATGATTTATAATTATTTACAGAGCAGAGAAAGTTTTGTGTCGAATTTATAAAATTGTAATCAATAGCATTCATAGTATTCAGTTTAATTCACTATCGTGATCTATTTTCTAATTTTTTCATTATTTATGTTAATATTTTCAATATGAAACTGGTATGTGAGGCAATTCAATTGAATTTGTTAATAAATCAGTCGAGATCGGTAGATGTGAGAGTGTGAACACGTGTGCATAGTATAAGTTGAACAGAGAGTCCCTTGTTCTCAACTTTTCAAAGCTCGGACATGATTTAGACAGTTTACACGATATTCCTCGAAGCAGTAGCAGTACAGTTCAAAGTACCGACAGTTGATCTTTCGATACAGTGTGTTTTAATAATAAAATTATTAATAAAAAACAAAATGTAAAATAAGTAACTTTTTCACTGTGTTTCGTAAAATTTTTTGTATTTAAAATATTTTCATTATAAGTTATAAGTCTCGTACTATTACAATTAATATTTAATACATTAAGAAAAAAATATATTTTTATGATATGTGTAAACGTCGAAAAAAAAAGCTCTACAGAAAAATTAAGAGTAAGTTTAAAATATTATTGACGTAAAAAAATTTGATATTTTGGAACTGAAACATATTTGTGAAACATGTCTCGAAAGTATCGGCAAATATAAATCCTACGTGACGAGTTTTATATGACTGTTAATTGCAAACATGATCAGTTCAATCGCGAGAATATATACGTTAATTTGCTTGTTGATATATTTATTGACTACGATTGCATTTTTCGATGGAATTAACCGACTTGATAAGTTAAAAGAAACGTATTTTGAAGCGACTGAAGAGAATGAATGGACATCACTTCTTAGCTTCATTAACAAAAGAAGTGTGAATCGGCATAAATTAAATGCCAGCTTGGAGAACGTTGAGAATAAATTCAGGAAAAAAGCCGACACTTTATCGCGTATTTTAAAAACTCACATCGATCTTTTAAGAAACGAAACTGATGAGGTAATACTTTTTAATAGAACATTAAATTAAAATTCATAAAGCTTTTATCTTTTTATTATATTAAATTGAAAACAATAAATAAATATTTTTATAAATATAAAATTTTATAAATAAGAATAATAATATATATTTAAAAATAATAAAAATTTGTATAAATAAATTTTGAATTTTTTTATTAATCAAGAATTATATATATAAATAAAAATTTATTAAATTTTCATTATTATATTAAATATATATTTGAATATTAATATTTAAATATTTTTCTTCATGATATTATTATTATATTTTCATACAATGAAGATTATTTAATTTAAAATTTAATTTAAAATTTTCCTTAGGTGGAATTAGTGTTTTTGGTCGATTCTTCAGGATCAGTTGGATCAAAGAATTTTCACAGTGAATTAAATTTCGTAAAACATGTTTTGTCTGATTTTTCTGTGATTCCTTCTGCAACGAGAATCGCGATCGTGACGTTTGGTGGAAGAAGACACATCAGACGCAATGTCGATCAAATATCTCGCACTAATGAAAATGATAACAAATGTTATTTGTTGAATAAGCAATTAACTAACATTAGTTACACTGGTGGTGGAACATACACGCGTGGCGCGCTTTTAGAAGCTTATGTAAGCGTTTTAAATTTCATTTTTCCTTCAAAATTTAGATCCTATGCGAATTATAAAGAAATAATATAATATTATAGTAATAAAAGTAAAAAAATAAATGAAATAAATATTTATTTATTAAAATATAATGATATTATTTATACTATTATTTTTATTTAAAAAGTAAAAGGAACATAACATAAAAAGAGCTAAATTCAAAATTGCATTAAAACAAAATTCAAACTACATCTTGTACACTTCTTCTATATCTTGAAATTTTAATTTGAATTTTTAAATGTTTGATAAAATTATATTAGAGGATTCTCGAGAAAGCTCGATCGAATGCAAAAAAAGCAGTGTTTCTTATAACCGATGGATTTAGCAACGGTGGTGATCCACGACCTGCGGCGAATCTTTTAAAAGATGCTGGTGCAACGATATTCACTTTTGGAATAAGAACAGGAAATATCGATGAATTGTATGACATAGCCAGTTCTCCTAAAGACACGTATAGTTATTTTCTCGATAGTTTCATGGAATTCGAGGCATTGATACGACGAGCTTTACATCGTGGTAAGAAGAATCGTGGTATAAAAAATTGTATAAACAATTTAAATAGATATTTATCGAAATATATTTATAACAAATCAATCTTTATAATTATCAATTCCTTTTTCCTTAAAGGATTAATTTAGTATTTTTTTTTCATCACAATAAGGAAATGACTCGACTGTTTATAAATGTATTTATTTATGCAAATGAAATAAATTTCGTACCATTTCCGTTGTTACAGATTTAAAAACGGGCAAGTACGTACCAGTGACGTTTCCAGATAATTGTAATCTTTTATGCAGAAATATGAGTGATGTCGGGAACGAAAAGTGTTGCGATAATTTCGCGACTTGCGCCTGCGGTACTGTGACCGGTCATTACGCTTGCATTTGCCCCACAGGCTATTTTGGTTCCGGTTTCAAAGATTCTTGTCATCGTGAGTTTACTCAAAATATGGATTTTTTTATTGACTTCTAATCAATTTTCTATCTCTTTATATAAAACTCAAAAAAATTTTGTTTAATAATGAATTTATTTTAATTAAATTATCCAAATTTATAAAATATTAAACTTTTAATTATACTTCAATCTATGATTAATATTAATTGCAATCAAATAATTTTTTTTATATAAAATAATTTTAATTTTTCATTTTATAAGTAAAGCAGAAATTTTAAGATAAGATAAGATAAAAAATCATTTTTCTATTATATATGATTATTATATTTTACATAAAATTAAGAACTATAAAATCTTATACATTTAATAAAAATGCAAACAATAATATTGCAACAATAAACAATATATTAAAAATGTATTAAAATTTTTATTATCATTATAAATTCTTTTTTTCTTTCATTATAAATCATTTATGAAATAAACAAATATTATTTATAAAATTTAATATTATTTTTAAAAAAATATTTATATTAAAAAAATTAATAAAATATCAAAACAAATTTGTCTATTTAAGATGAATTGTTATTTTCTGAAGGAACTATTATTAAATCTTTATTCTATTATCTTTAATTCTATTCTAAGTATTAATAGAATTTACTATTCTAATTATGTAATACTTATAAAATTATCATAATTATCATAAATGCATAATTAATTTTTTTTTATTTTTAGCTTGTCCAAATGGTACGTACGCATCTGGAGAAATCTCTGGTGATTTTACGTCAATGTGCATATCGTGTCCTGACGTAAATCACGTGACTATAAAAGTACCTGCAACTTCAGTCGAACATTGTGTGTGTGCTTCCGGATTCACCACAGAGAGAAATAAGTGCGAAGGTAATTATAAAATAAAATTCAATTATTAGGAAATTCATTATTTCATTTATTAATTTTATATTTTACCAAAAGTATCCTATACCCGCACCAAGAGCAGGCATATTTTTGGTTAATGGGGTTATATCCTTAAGGGGATCAGGATACTCTGGTATATAAGTTCCATATTTTTCTAATTGGAATTTTGGTTTCACTACAAGCCAACCATACTAAAAGAATATTTTATTTATTGATAGAAAATCAATCATAAATTAAAAATTATGATATTATATTTTAATAGCAATAAAAGATTAGATAGAGAACATTTTGTTGAATCTTTTAGAATCTTGAGAATGCATAATGAAATAAAAAAAAAAATATATTTACAAAATCTGTGTAAGTAATTTTGTGAATAATAATTTATTTTCTAATTTTATTATTATTTTTTTTCTTTTCATCATAAAAAAAAGATAAGATTTTTTTGGTTACTTACTAATTTTATAATTTAGTGAAAATTATATTGAAATATAATTGTTAATACCTCGCCATTTGTAGTAATTGGAACTGGTAGGCATGTTTTTCCTTCTTCTGAAACGAATGGTTCTGCGGCGATAATTATCTGCTTTTCTTCGCATAATTTCTCTATTTCTTTTTTTAGTTTTCTATAAAATCGATCATTAATAAGAATTTATTGAATTATTATTTAGAAATTTTATTAAACTATTTTTATGTACATACACTTTCTCATCCAATAACCATTCATATTTCTGATACCATTTCATTCGTAAATGTCTTACTTTTTCCACCTCTTCGGTTAAATTTTTATAATTAGCTACAAAATCATAAGGTTTATTGCTTCGTGGATCCATCGTTTTCTTTTTATATCTTATTAAACAAATTAAATTCTTCTTTAAAAATTATTAATTAAAAAAATATTAAATTTAACTCGTTTACAATGAAGTTGAAAATTATAAAATTATCGAATACTAAATTGTATTTTAAAAACAAAAACGAAGCAATTAGATTTTATAATATTGATATTCCTTAATATTGTATTAATATTGTAATATACATAATGATACATATTATTATATGATATTAATTTTTATTTTTTTAATTAGCAACTTTAATATTTATAAACATTAAAATATAGATTAAAAAATTAATTAAAATATCAATGATAAAATTTAATTTTTTACATGAGATAATTAGATCTCATATAGTTATTTAACATTTATATGATTCTATGATATTAAAATTGTACCTACTCTTAGCTTATATTTTTGTTCTTTGATTTTATCTCTTATCGTTCTTATTTTTAAAATTTTTATTATTATTCAAATTATAATATTTCAAAAATTATTTTATATTTCAAAGATTGATAACTTATCTTTCTTATTCTTTCATAGTTGTAACATGTCCCAAATTGAGACTTCCTGAAAACGGATATTTGGTGAAAGCAAGCGCGTGCAGTAATGTTATCCACGCCGCTTGTGGTATAAGATGCAGAATCGGTTTTTATCTCACAGGCGATAGTATCCGCCTTTGCGGAAAGGACGGTAACTGGTCTGGAAACGAACCGAAATGTTTACGTGAGTCTTCAAAATTACTTTTCTTTAAATAATTTGTAATTATTTGTCTGTAATTACTTAAAAAAGAATAGATATACATTTACGTTTGAATAGCCAAGACTTGTCCGGCACTTCGAGTTCCTGCACATGGACGGATACGTTGTCAAAACGATGAAGATCACCATTTGATCAAAGAAGATACGACTACGTATCCAATCGACACACGTTGCCAATTCAAATGTGAAACTGGTTATCAACTTCGCGGAAGTAAAATCCGTAATTGCTTACCTCTGTCGCAATGGGATGGTCTTAAGGCTACCTGTAAAGGTATATTCTTCCTTCTACAGAAATATAGAATAAAGAAAGTAATATATAGGTAACGTAAGTGTCCATGTTCTCAATGTTCCAGAGTTTAAAAGTCCTTAAAAATCTTACATTTCAATGTCCTTTGAAATTCCTAAAATTTCTCAAGATTTAATAAGATTCGATTTTAAAATTCTTATAGCCTTAACAAACTAAGGTTTCATAATTCTAAAATTATAATTTATCAACAATTACGCGAAGTTTAAAAGTTTTATATCTTAAATGTACTCTTACTTATATACATTTATTACTCGTAGCAATAAAATGCGAACCTTTGAAGCAAGTTACAAATGGAGAAATTTTGCCCGAAAATTGTTTTGGTCCAGGAAAGGTTGCATTTGCAACCAATTGTACTATAACATGCAAGAAAGGTTTCGTGCTCGAGGGTCCACATTCTAGATATTGCGGTGGTCGTTCTGGAATCTGGACACAACGTCGAACTGTTAATCGTTGCGTAGGTAATATATTCATTCATTATCTTAATTTGATTAAATGATACTTACATATTGATTTATGATTACAATTTTTTTTCTTTTTTCAAGATAAAACACCACCTTCAATAACTTGTCCATCCGACATTATCATTGAAAACGTCTCAGGGAAGAAATACGCTTATGTAAATTGGACAATGCCAAATGTAACCGACAATGTGGATAAAACACCCACATTATGGAGCAAGCCATACATTAGTTTTCCCTGGAGAGTAAAAATTGGAATACGTACAGTAGTGTATATGGCGCAAGATTCATCTGGAAATAAAGCAAAATGTAAATTTAAAGTTAAAGTCCTTGGTAAGTTGAATATCCTATGAGATTTCTTATTCAATTATAATATGAATATTTTTGTAAATATAAATACGTAAAATAAATTTCTTCAGATACTGAACCACCAATGATCGAGAATTGCGTAGATCCTCCGATTTTATTTACGGACAATGGTATTGGAATAAATAACGTAAGTTGGGATGAGCCTGGTTTTCACGATAATTCCAAAACACCCGTACAAGTAGAACAAAATTATCTTCCTGGTGAAAATACGTTTCCAATCGGTGTAACGCAAGTGGTGTACAATGCTATTGACAAGTATGAGAATAAGGCATCTTGCGTGCTAAACATTACTATAAAAGGTATTACATTATCAATTAATTAATATTTTATGTGTTTTGTAGATAATTTGATTTGAGTAATATTAAGTAATTGATGTTATATTTATATTTATATATTACAAAATTATAGAAAAATAATAAAATAAGAAGAATAATAATTTTTTGTTTTTTCAGACGCCTGCGAAGAAATTCCAAAAGTGTTAAATGGTCATTCAAAGTGTCATTCGTCATCGATAAACGAAACCAATGAGTGCTCTATAATTTGTAATGAGGGATATGGATTCGCAACTGAGGAATCGAATCTCAGCATTGTGGAAGATATATTATTATTAAAATGTAATAGAAGTACGTCAAATTGGTTTGAGGATAGTTATATTCCTGATTGTTCAGGTATGTGATTTCTATCCTTTATGATTATTAATTTATTTATTCGAAAATTAACTTAATATTTTATTTTTTCTTTTTATTTTTTGTTATTATTATATAGAATCGACAATTCCTAAAACTGTATCCCAAGAAGGAAGTATTATATTAGAAGGAAATGAAACTAATGTTTGCGATAATTTAACAACCCTTCGTGAAGTAAATATTAATTTTTTATTATCATAATTATATGTTTGATCGCATAAAACATCGGTTTTTATCGTTATTTAAATTAGCTGAGTGAATATATTACTGCCGATTTAAGATCAATCTTACTCGACATTTGTGGAAACGATGTTGAATGCAATCTCATTACGTTTGATCCTGAATGCGAGGGAAATATTCCATCATCGGGTACAGTTTATTCCAATATCTTAAGAAAACGAAGAGGATTTGATTATGATGATATTAACAAAAAATCAGAACGAGATGCCAAAATGAAAAATAAAACGAAAATGAGAAAGAAAAAAGAGAAAATTGAGATTAAATTTAGATTTTTAGGCGAGTTGTCTTTTAAGTAATGTATTAATGAAAAGTATCGTATTATAAAAGAAATTTTTGATAAAAATTTGAAGCATTTCCGCATCGATAATCTTTGAACATAATATATCGTTTAATGTAGGAAAAATAATCGACGAATATTTGGATAATCCACGAGAAGGTATACAAAAATTGAAAGAAAAACTCGAGTCGTTGTCAAAATCTGGAAAGTTAAACTTGTTAAACAATAAAACTAACGAAGAAATTGCGAAACTTGCGTTAAATTTACATGTGATTTTTAAAAACTTTGAAGAAGTTTGTGATCCAGGAAGCGTCTTAAGGAAACACTATTGCGGTGAACATGAATTAAAATTTTCTTCACGTTGGAAATTATTGAAATCGTTCTTATAAAAGTGTTTATTTAAATTTTAGTAAAATGTCCATTGGGTACATTTTTCTCTTCCTCGAATAAGCGATGCCAATCATGTTCTTTTGGAGAATATCAAAATATAACTGGATCTTTAAAATGTAAACGTTGTCCTAAACATACTTCGACGAAAAAGATTCATTCAAAATACTTACGAGATTGTATAAGTGAGTAATTAATCTACTTTCATTTTTTACAAATATTTTTTTCTTCTAATTTGTTACAAAAATTATTTTTCATTAAAAATCAAATCTATTATAATTTTTTTTATTATATAAATTTATTCACACAAATATTCATATATATATATATTGTTTCTATTTAGATTTATGCAGGCCAGGATTTTATTCTCGAAAAAAACGTTATCTAAACATAGGATTGGCTCTTGAACCTTGCCTTATGTGCGAAATTGGATTTTATCAACCAGAATATGGACAAACACACTGTCTATCGTGTCCATCTGGTACCACTACCAAAAATCGTGGAACTAAAAATATAAATGATTGTTTACCATTTTACAAAATTGAAATTAATATTTGCGACTCAGAATCGTGTTTAAATGGTGGAAAATGTGTACAAGAAGAGGATAGCTTTAGTTGCGAATGTCCCGATTATTACGTTGGTAATTATTTAATTTTGTACATTACACAATTACGTAATTACAAGTTCATCTTATTAAAAAATAGTTTAAAATATTATAACTGTATTATAAAATTGTGGATATTAAATATTAAAATTATTATAGGTTCTAAGTGCGAAACATTTCGAAATCCGTGTGATTCTTGGCCTTGTTTGAACGAAGGTATATGTAATGTGGAAATTTACACAAACAGCACAATATCGTACACTTGTACGTGCAAAAATGGATATTCAGGTAGCAATTGCGAGGTAAAACAATTATTATTTATTAAAAATAAAAATAGTCTGGATAGAAATAAATTAGAATCTAAAATATAGGTATATATTGATGAATGTATCATTAATCCTTGCCAAAATAATGGCACATGTATAAGCACAGAAAATGATTACATGTGCGAGTGTAAGAATGGTTTTGAAGGTATATTTAAAAATTATTTTATACGTGTTAGTAATTAATTTTTAAAAAAACAGAATTTTTTACGAAAAAATGTATCATTTCTCAGGAGAATTTTGCGAAATTGTTGTCGATTATTGTAATCTTTTACCATGTATGGAAGGATCTACTTGTCGCAATGTTAACGAAACTTGGCAATGTTTTTGTAAACCTGGTTTTCTTGGTCGTTATTGTGATCTATTGCCTTGTGATTGGCTACCGTGCAATGAAAATTCATATTGTGTGAATATCGAGGAAGAAAATGCAACGAGAATGAGTTACAGGTGACTACAGATAATAGATTGTTTATTATTATTAAAAAAAATTAATAATTTTTTGATTGATTAGATGCGAATGTATTGATGGTTACACTGGAGAAAATTGTACTACAAAAATTGATCATTGTCAGAATCACTCGTGTTTAAACA